GAGCCGTAGAGCCTTCAGCGTCAGAAGGTACGTTACCTATCGAACGAATAAACACGTGACACTCCGAAAAGAATATCGATATATCATTGAGATGGTATATTACTAGACTTACACTTTAGAATATATATATATATATATATATGCTCACGCTGTTATTTTATTCAATATTTTATGCAATTCTCACACTCCCACACGGTATATGCATATGCGTTACAAACTTGTAGGTGTAATAAAGAAACACATTACAAAAAACTTGTTGTACGCGAGACAATTAATAGAGACGATCTTCTTACCTTCCTTACCTGATGTCATCAAAACGTGGTTGTGCTCGCGCTACTTTACTATATGAGCGCATTCATCGACGGTCTGTAGTACCAAATTGATCAAGAACAATCGATCGTCTCGAGTGATGCTAAAAGATCGCCCCCAAAATTATGCACTCGCCAACCTATCGGCCCCATTAAAGCGATTTCGTCAGACAGCTGAGCGAGGGAGAGTTCTTTGGCCTTTCAAGATGACGCTCTGAGTTCTTCATTGGGCAACCGAGTATAAACTGGTGAATATTGTTTCATACAAGGCATTCAACACTCGTTGCCAGATAGGCATAATATCCATTAAAGTCGGCCTATACACAGCAACGGGTTTACAGGGAGAGAGCTTCGGGTGGCATGGCGCAGTTCAGCTCATCTTGAACTGCAATCGTACTAGCACGAATTAAAAGTTAATACATCACACATATAAGGGCAAGGAGAGACATGTCGTAATGAGCAGCGATTTCGCAAGTGGTAATTCTTGTCATTAAACGCTTTTACAGAGGGCAGATATGACGTCTTAAATTGTGATGGGCTAATTGTGTTAACTTCAACACCAAACAAAATTTAATGGAGAGAAAAATTGGTTCCAACTGTCAACCACTTCCGACCATTAACTACTTTCTGTATTTGATAGAGTGTGTTGACGTTAAGGTCAACTAGGCCGGAATAAATTCTGCGCCTAATAAAGAATATAAAGATCTCGGTAGTGACAGCTAATCATGAACTTGCTTTATTTGTAACGATGATAACATTTTTTCCTCGAGGGCATAGATCCAGCACTGACTGTAATGACTTTTATTTGATATGGTGAGTCAGTCTTGTGATTTACGAATCATGAGTAACATTGTCAAAATATTTGATTTGTTGTAATAGGCACATGTTACTAATAAGGTTCGACCCATCCCGTTAAGCGTGATATACAAGCACGCTTAAGAAATTATTTCATGAGAGTGAGAGATTAGTATTTATCAACACGTTCACTCGGACTGTTACCCGCCATGTCGTTGTAGCCGTAAATACATTAATTGTGCCTTATTTGCAGATTGCATATGTATGCAAAAAACTGTCCAGTATTATTTAGGCACAGATATTCTAGTGCGGCAAGGAAAATAAAATTCTGTTTGCTTTCACTACCTATCTCACAAATTGATGGTAACATGATCCGCTGATGTCATCCAATTCGATGACCAAAGTTTTATGAAACAGTGTTGCATGTTGTCAGATCGTTAAAGATGAGTCTCGCTTTCTTATGGCTTCGGTTTTTTTCGATGATGCGAGCTTATGTTGATCAATATAAGCATTGTTGCGTGTGCATATAGGTGGTAACGTATTTTTGAGACGACCGTCACAGGCGAAAATAACGTAATGAAATGTTACGAGCTACTGCGCACCTTCACTATTCACTGATCTGCGTCTGACCTATTTACTAATGGCTATAGAGGCCTGATGTTCAAATTGGTTAACAAAGATTAAAAAGGTTGCCGAAAGTGAAGCATTGATAGATTGTGTCTCCATGTCGATCCGTGAACAATATATGCATGGTTAAAACAATGTCCAGCTCAGGTTCGTTGTTGACTAAGACAAAAATTGTGAGCAAACTACGATCTGGAACAGAGGAGACACGAAATTTCATTTGGCTGTATAAGAATTCGCTACATCATGTTTCTTACAGTTAATTCATCTCGCGTACAATGCGATTCATTTTCTAGCTAAGGTCCCTGACTCAGACATTGGATTCACTGAATACGACCTCTTAAACTGCTAAATGTGCTTTTAAGTCAAAGAAACACAAACAAAACGACCGCTGAAGAATTATTGGTAGACCTCACCGATTAAAAGGATCGGAGACGCACATTGCAAAAAATAATAATGGACCCATCGAACGACGAGACATACTCAACGTAGCAACTAATATAAGGATACCGGGCTGGAGGGATATCATAGGCTCTTGCGCTGCAAAGTTCCAACAGAACGATGTCCGGAAGATCGTCAAATCACCCGGATGAAGGACGTCGCCACGCACCCACAGCGCAGCGACGTTCGGGTATTCCATGGCGAGTTGTCGCTATCCAGATGCACAACGGATCGGCCGTGCAGCGGATCGTCTACGACTAAGAAGTACCAGGGCTCGAATGCTTGACCACACCATTTGTCCGCATGGTGGAGGCAATGGCGGCAGCATTACGTCTTCAACTACATACTCACGAGATACACAGGCACAGGAAGTAGCGAAACGAATCTTGAACGTCCTGATCCAACAACATCGAATCCGGGCAATTTATTCACCGAAAATTGTACTTACCCTCATCTAAGCACCCCACCGGCCGAATCAGCACCGAGAAGAAATCGAGTTCAGCCCTCCCCCTCAAACAGGGCAAGAAAACTCCGTTCGCATCAACAGACGCTTTCGGAACGAGCTTTTCTAACGTCATCGCGTGATAATCACCTAGGATGGTGATCTGATGAGGATGGCGTAAAGCATGCTTTTACCAACCCACGCCTCCCGCTAGTGGCATCGCTTGCATCTCGTCAGCAGATGGAGAGGGTGGTCGCGACCTGCTGATTATGCTGGAGGCTAAACGACGCGATTACAACTTCTTCCAGCAAAGCCATACCAACTGCATTCTACACGAAAACCTGTCACGCTTGAGCACCGCAATGAATTGTATTACGATAGGCACCGAATGACATGCAGATTTACAAAGGCTCACAACTGTCTATGGACAGGAAGGAGCTGGACTACGTGACACTTTTCCCTTATCCTAGCAGGGGTGGGCATGACGCAGGTGGATCCACCGTCGTCTGGAAATTGTATATCGGTTGCGTTAGCGCAGGTGGTAGCCGTGCTTCTCTGTTGCGATCGCAAGTTTGCTACCAGGGACTACTCGATCATTCAGCCACGCACATGCGCCATTTAGCGCGGAGATCAAAGCATCGACTGGAGGATGATGCCGCCAATCAAATCGAAACAAAAACCATTTTCATCCATTTTGTATCAGATGTGAGCTCGCAATTGTTGCACACTAGTCACGGAGGAGCAAGACGCAGTGTGAAAGCAGGCGAGCCTAGTTTGCTCTAGCACCAAAAAAAGAGCGGCTCGGATAGAGGCCGAGGGCACTTCTGTGAGGTGCTACGAGTGTGGGTGTAGCTATCGAAATCAAGCCAAAGTGATCGCTGCTATCAAAAGAAAGTCGAAGTGGTCGTAGCTACCGATATGAAGAATGGCCGGTGCTCAACCCATTGGCAGCCAGTCAATTGTCCAGTCCTTTTTGATTGGCTCTTTCGCAAAACCATTCGAATAAAAGGGTGCTGCCAAATACGTGTGGACCACTGCGTTAACCAAAGTCCGAGGTGCTGGTCTCGGGACGGCGGGATCGGACTCACTTTGTCACTGGTTGAAGCTTCAGTGCCTCTGACTTTGTCACTTATTAAAGCTTCGCTGCCGCTGGCGCTGACTCTGACCCTTTTTTGCTATCGCCCATAGAGCGCACATACGACTACTGCAAGAGCGCGTATCTGACACGTTTATTCTCACAAGAGAGTCATATATAGTGCGTGTTAAACATGCGACTTGGTGCCACCAAAGCACTAACGACAAAATCGTGTACGCGCACCATCTCTTCATTGATCAGAAGATGCTGAGTCAAACGAAATGCCATCGTTGATACGCAAGAACGGACACTAAGGCGCGTAAAATACACGCTTACCCTCGAGCAGTTGATGTGCGCGCTCGTGCATGTTTCGCATGACGCGCACCTCACACAAAAAATAGCAAGCCAATACTGAATGCCTCATTCGTTTATTGTTCGCCAGCGCACAATCAATCCTCTAGCAGCAAAACAATCACTTCCTTGTCACCCGGTCTGCACGTCTCAGCCGCAAGGTGATCTTCTGAAAAATTCATGCCACCCTATGCCCATTCAGTGCACAAGTAGTGGTTGTTCCATGTTGTGCGGCGCAGACTTTTGTGCTGGTCGTAAGACTGACCTGTCCGTCCACATGCACACATTACTTGATCCATCGAAAGGGCCTTTTGCGAGTTAGTGTCATCCCGATGGGTTGGCTGATCGTGTCGTCATTTGGTTGACGCAGCACTTTGGAAGCGGCCTGGAGTTGGCTATTGCAAAGACCAGCGCAACTTCCTGACAGAATGACTAGAAAAGGTCGTAATGACATTTACGTGGACGCGCTCCAGTCCTTTGGCGATCAATTGCACAACGGAATCGACTGAGCATTGAAAGCACCAATCGGCAAATCGATAGACAAAGTTTGGAATTCTTGGGGGTCTCATTTCCAAGAGATGGGGGCCGGCCGATCGCTAAGTGACATATAAGTTGGGGTCCGAGATTCCGTCAGCCCAACGCCGTTCGGGTGCTTGTGCAATGGATATGTATGTTCAACCAGGCAGTCGTCGGGGTCAACGCGAAAGAGCAGCACCCGTATAGCATGTAACGTTAACATGTCTCGGCAGCAACAAGAGCTTCCCATCATCGAGAATTGCACCTCTATCTACCTCGATGACCGGTCGTGGCACGAATTTTCCTCCATTTAGACTGCGCACAACGACCAGTATCGAAACGCTCAGCACTTTGTCGGCGGCCATATTCATGCACACTTCGTGAATAAACACGTAAGGCTAGTAACATTGCACCGCTTTCAACGTCTATTCTGAACCACATCAACGACTCACAATGCAGCGGCAAAAGACGCTTCGTCCAAATAGTCGTCATGATCGCCCAAAAACTTTGAGAGCTTCATGGCCACCTCTGCAGCTCGTTCTCGTCGCTTCGTGTCATCAAGGAATGCAACTTGGTCGCGGACATTTCGTACTTGAGCAATCAGCGCGCAAAACTCATCCATATCAACGTCGTCATCACTTTCACCTCCTCCTCCTATCGCCTCACTCGACACACTGGGGCACGCAGCAACGTCCAAGGCTTGCATCAGCTGCGTCTCCTGACGCAAAGCTTCACTCCCGTCACAGCTTTCTTCTTCGTGCTCCTCCTTGTTCCCCACCTCGTCCTCAAGCGAGACCATCTCGTCCACATTGGTTTCTATGCTCTCTGCTGCAACCACATCTAGCGGTACTGCTCCCGCAGTCTGCCGCACGTGCATCTCCATGGAACGCCACCGGTTGCACTGTAGAGCTTCCAGCACGCGTGCGACCCCGTGCTTCTCTCCTGCAACACTGTGATCACCACAAGAGCGCTCTGGTCCGCTCGACACAACCAGCTCAAAGCCATTGCCGTGACACCAGCTCTCCATTGTTTCCACGCGCTCGGTCGTTTCCATACACGTACTACTAACCAGTAGCAGACACACGTCCACAGTCGCCAGCTCTACGACGCGCGTGGCGAACCCACACACGTGTTGGAAACTCTCTTCCTCCGCCGCGTTCACCACGACGAGCACCGCTTCGTAGTCGCACAGCTCGTGCTGCAGCGCAGGCGCTGGCGCATTGTCCTGCACCACATGCACGTGCACGTCCACCTGCGCGCGGTAGTACTTTGTCTGCAGCGTCAGCGCCGTCGCGTTGTGGCGCGTCGCGGCGTTGGGCGCGTCGGCAGCACAGTCGTTGCAGAGGTCTGTGAGCTCTGAGACGGCGGAGCGCGCGCCTTCCACGTCAGAGCTCAGGACGAGCAGACGAGAGGCGGCAGCGGCCATGAGGCGGTGGTGGGCGTTGTTTTCTGTTGCAACGGGTGCTCGTGCTCTCTTTTTTGTCGTACGGAATCCGTCCCATGAGGTTATTGGAGGATGGCATGGGGTGGGCGTGTAAATGGGTGTGGAGGTCGAAGTCACTACCCACCGACTACCGATTCCATTGTACGACCCTACAAAGGAACGGACTGATCCAGCAAAGTCGTCTTTATCGTGCGGCTATGCTGATCGACTTTTTTAGCTTAAATGGGAGAGCAGTGTCTTCTGCGTGGAATATGCCGTAGAAGAAGAATACGACACCCTTTGTACACAATGTTCGGCAATGGTGAACAACTCACTGCTTCGTGGTCAACTTAGGCGGTGATATCAAATATCAACTTACGTACTGTAGCGACAATGGACGCGCGCGATGCATGCGTGCAAGAAGCTAGAGCACGTTGTAATTTGATTGTACGTAAGGTAAGGTTGTGAAAATGTACTTGTAATCTACGACCCACTGTTCGCTGTTTCCATTCAACCAAGCGTGTCCGTCCAGTCGACTGCGCTTCCTTTCACCCTGTGGTGTACGCGGGGTTTTTAGGTCACCTGTAGCCACTGTAATGATCTATGATCCAATGCGTTCATATCGATTAGCGTAGAGTGCCCCGTTGTACCTGGTCGCACACATTGGTCTGGCTTTCATCACGAAAATATCCACTTTGGACTTGATACCGAGGATGACTTTCACGCCTCGCGTAACGACTTCTCCCATTCGTGTGGCTTCTTGTGCCGAGAGGAAAACGATTGAATTTAATCGTCAGTAGATAGCTGTAAACGGGACCCAGTGTAAGCTACCTACACTGACACAGTGTAGACAGGAACCTCGCAAGCTCACATACGATATACGTGCAGAGGAAGACTAATCTTCTAAACGAACGCGTTTAAGAAATGGTAGAGTAGAGTTGCCTTCAATATATCGACATACTACCCTCTCAACACCCATTGCGCGTCTAGCAGCAATCAGTCATCTATCTGCCTGACACAATGGGCCGTATCAACCGCTGGGTGGAGCGGTGCTTATAAAACATTCGAAGTCATTATTTCTTCACTATGTTTTTAGTATGGTTCATGTTGGTAAATAATATCATCAATGATTTATATTGATTGACCCAATGTTGGTTTTAATTACGTGTAACGCGATCACTCCGATATATATCGCCTATAGCTATAAGTAATTTGAGTGAGTAATTGGCAACTGTTTGATGACAGAGTGCGATTAGCCATGGATCCCTTTGAGAAAGATGAGCACTTGTTGATCTTGCCCAAACATTTTCGGATGTTATTGTATAAGTAACAAATCCATTCGATGTACAGCTAAAGCCGCCAAGAGCGCGGATGCACGGATGTGTGCAGCTGCTGAGAGGGCGTTTAAAGAAGAAGATATAGCTATTAATTCGCCTGCTGATGCTACTTAGTAGCCTGTCGCGTAAATCGATGTAGTGACCTGGTGATTCATCACGTGTAGCTGATACACTCGCAGAGCAAGCTGTGGCCGTGGGACCTGAAGAAAGATGATGATCTTTTTCCACAGGTTACCTACTCTAAAAGGGTTAAGCGTGGGATCTAACTCGAACTCTCCTTCCTTCTGCGGATATGGTAACACTGTCCTCGTCGTGGTGTTTAACTTAACGAAGCTGAGCGTCTTGAGAAGCTCGTCGCATCTGACACGTCAGACGACTTGTCTTCTGCACCGATCTGATCGCGTGGTGGAGGTGTTTCGCATATTTTTTTGCGATACCGACTCTCCACTGGGGCCCGGGCGACCAACTATTGGAGACGATACTCCATTTACTTGACGATTTAACCTTCAATTACCTTGTTCACACGTCGGTAAGGAGGGCTGCATACTTTTTGATAAATCGGATCGATGCTGAACTGAAGCGTGGTTGTAAAAAATTAGGATCCACTCGCACTGAAAATTGCACTTTTTTGCTATCATCTTATGAAACGCTGCTCGAGCTACAAGGATTTGTGATAGGCCGCCTTGTTCATCAATGCAAATGTAGATTTTAAACCAACTTAACATACAGATCCTTATCCGTATCGCTCTTTTGTCTCTTGAGCCCTTGGGCATCGCTGCCTCTTATCATATGATGATTTCATCTTTAAATTAATTGGTATGCCTGGTCAGATGGGTGTGGTGGTAAACGTAATACATTATCATTTAAAGTTGGCAGGTTAAAGTTATCCTGCCGAAGACAGATGTCGACGTATGTCCTTTATTGTATCTTATCGAGAATGCGGACTGATTAAACATGTAATCAATAAAAAAGTCAGTATCCATATCATGATCAACCACCACCTGAAATGCATCAGCTCAAGTCGTCTCCTGTAAAATAAAGTACTTACACCATTCGCCCCTCCATAAGATTTACATTGGCAAAACGGCCGGATCGACAATCGACTTTATGTAGACCATACACAATTTACATTGAGTCGATTGTCGACGCATTCCACATCCGCGTGATCGATAATCGACGACTGACGTGATCGAATCGCGTTACCGGTCCACGAAGATTGCGCGAGATACGTCTTCTCGTGATAAACATTGATATTCTTGATATTCTCATAAAGTTCTTATAAATATATATATACTGGCTTCGTTAAATGTGAGTTACATGACCTGGTCGAATTAATATATCTTTATCAACGTCAATCTAATATCCTAAATCGCTGTTCATGGGTAGCTGACCAACAACTATTTGAACACTACTCATTTCCGTTACAGGTCCCACATCGTCAAGCGAGCCGTATAATTTTACGATTTTCTTTTGCTGCATCCCGATATCGTGAGCCATCGCTGATCATAAAACGTACTCCAACAGTGAATTTGGAATCGCGTACACCTGCTACCTAAGACAACTGTAGTGTCACATATCCTCTTTGTACCTAGCCGAAAGACGCGATCTACGTTTAAAACTTTACTCCGAATCCTTTGGCTACAACCGCGCCCACAAGATTGCAACATAGGTGGCCGACACTTTGAAAAATATTTTCGTGATGTAGGCACGGGCATTGGCTACAGCCATCGGAGTCGAAAAATTGAAGGCGAAGTTATAAAATCGTTAACGACGATTGTGAAGTTGGGATTTCCATTCGCATCACTCAAGAGCAATCAAATGCGATATCTTTTGCATATTGTTGTTGATCCCAAGCCGTGGGACCATTAAGATGAGATGAAAGTGGATAATCCGAATCGATCAATTAGCTTTTTTACATGGACTTGGCGTGCTTCATAGCAAGTTGTCCGCGAGAAACGTCTATCACATCAATATGTTCATTAAAGATCAATGGTAAATTTATAGCGAAACCATGACAGCAACGCCTTTGCTCGAACATTATGTGAGATTATTCTAAGTGTTATACGCATCGACCAGGATTGATATAAAAACAACTAGTGCAGCTCACATCAGTTTGTACTGCGTAATGATCCCTGTGCGCAGTATATTTACATCATATGTCTCAAGAGGCAGGCTTGACCTGTCTAAATTAACGATTGATTCGATGAAATGTACTGACAGCTTTTTTCGATCCCTCAAAAAGCATTTCCTTCCCAATAAGCGCTATCAAATGGTTCGCATCTCATTTGAGATGCACACATGATTTGCGATCTATCACAAACTTTTGAGAACACGGTACTTGTCCGTTTCAATCGTACCTAATGATTCATCGGGTAAACCTCGTTATCATGTTTGACGAGGCCAAGAACGTCAGCCAGATGTTACAAAACTCGCTTTAACCTATTACACGAGAGCGGATAAATGATACACCGAACGAGGTAGCTCGTACTTTTTATGTCCACTTCGCAATGATTATAGGTACTCTTTACTCAAAAGCGTTGACAACCGAGGGGGTATATCGACCGATATTATTATAGCGGTTATACCCGTCGAGTTGAGTTTTAGGAAAATTCGATATTGAGGTGTTTAGAATCCGTAGCGCCTAAGTTACCAGATGATCTTATGATATAGAGGATCATGCAACTGGTTTTGGTCGATACTGTGGAGGGGTGTCGTGGCAATCGGGAAAAGTAAATACACAGCGTATGCTTCATACCGATAAATAAGTCAAGCGAAATCACCTTTGGAGACATTGCAATAGATTAGGAGGAGACCACGTAATTATGGTAGCATGTCTTTTCATTGACCAACCAGGCTATATATCTAAATTGAAATTGCAAGGGCAGGTGGGTTATTTTGAGTGTAGTGTATGATTTCACCGTAAGAAGAATGCCGTATTAACATCACGGAAGGAGATACCCCATATAAAACCTGGGTATGTGCTCGTCCTACGTGGCAGGTCAATCGCGTATACGCTGCCTAGGGTTTGAAGCTCACGAATGGAGCCTGTGTAGTTAAGCAGTTTTATACTGTTGCCTGCGATAGCCTAGCGTGTCTAGATGGAATTAGAGAGAAGTTTGGAATTAATGTTCGGTGTTATATTAACTGTAGCTTGATCTTTTATAACCTTCATTGTTTTATTTTGTCATTCTGTTACTTATAAAATATATAATTGCTTGTCGAAACGGACTCGTGTTTCGTATTATAGCAAAAGTTCTTTCATCGAAAAAACATCGTTTCAAAGTAATGTATATGTGAACCGTGAAGATATTATTTTTCTTTTTGAGCGAGGACGTCACCATTCTTGCATTTATAGTCGTTACCCATACTGAATATGCTAGTACAGACACCATCGTCGTAGTTGTCTTCTTAGATATCTATTGCATTGATTGGAGGGTTTGGTGTATTAATACAAACCTCGAGACGTGATGAGTGAAGCGATATTGGTTGCGTGTTGTAGCATACACATACCTGGTTACGATCGTATCGTTGATCGCGAGTTCCAGCTATATCGCGATCTCTACCAAGATAAAGCTAAGAAATGAGAAGAGAGAGCTAAAACTTTGTTTGCAGACATGTGATGTGCGCAATTCAGAAGACCGTGCGCTTCGGGATGAGAAAAAGGCA